ATTACTAAATTTTAAAGCTAGGACCTTACGTAGTCATTCATTGTGAGTCAGCACAAACACACACCGGGTACAGTATGACCCTCTAGGTCCTGAGGCAGCGCAGCAAAAGTAAATGAAAGAGTTGCCTTTGAGGAGCATCTAGTCCATGACCCGCTATTCCCAGAATTAGGACCAGCAGTAGATTCCAAAGCCTTACCTGAAGTACCTCCAGTCCCAGCATCACCAACCTACGTGCCCTGTGGAACCCTATGAGGAAAGCAAGGAAGATAAGGTGATGTATTATTCATTTTTTGCACTCATTAGGGGATCTCACTGCTTCATCTCCTCCCTGCCATGAACACACACACACACTCTTCAGAGGTGGTAGATTTGAAGGAGAAATTCTTTAAAGGCCCCTCTTCACAAAAGGCTGGAAATCTAGTAGGCCCAGATCCATAATGCTACTTGCCCAAAATCTTATGGCTGTAACTAGCATGTCTTTCTCCTACTGCATCTTAAACCATCCTATATAATAAAAGAGTAATATGCCAATCAACTGAACAGCAGAATAACCCGACTGCTCACTATGATGCACACTGACCACCAGGGGGCAGATGCTCCATGCAGGAGCTGCTGAGTGACAGCAACTTTGCAGAGCGCCCTCTCCCACACTCCAGGAACCTTAGGGGGAGGTCGGACTGCCATGTTTGGCCAATCCCTGCAGGCCAGGCTGAGGGACCCCACCTGCCAGAGGACCCTGCTCACTCCGCAGATGCTCTTCGAGCCCCAGCACTGACCCACATGTGGCTTCCGGGGAGGAACTTAGCGAGGTTGGCTCCAGGGTATGTCCCACTCTTCTCGCCCAGTCCTGCCCCACCAGCCACCTTCTAATTAATTTCCTTTCAATGTGCATGAATCCATGCACTGGGCCTCTAGTAATATAATTGCCTGCATTTTAAAATCACAGTCACAAGTCTCATATTTCTTTAAGTAATGTAAAAATTAATGTTGTACCCCCAGAGAATACTTGATTACTTGGGACAGAAGGAATACTTTATCCACACTGAAGGCTGACTCCTATCACTGACTAAGTGTATTAAACAGTCCCTAGCCAATTTCAACAACTGAGAGCACATGTTTTTCAAATTCGGTGACTCTAGCACTAAGTCCCTTGTGCAATTGCCTTGTCTGTTTGAGCAGGTGGTCTAACTGAGCCTGCACACAGAGCAGAGGGCAAGGGCACTCACGAAAAGGAATCTCATCCATTATTAAAATGTAGGCCAACTTTTATT